CGCCTCGTTGGCTGCCAGGCTTCGGGCGATGCTGAGGAAAACCTGCTGCCGCGCTCACAGAGGAAGGTGGCGTCCAGGCCGGGCTGGAGCGAATCAGCGGGCCTGGCGGCTGCTGTGGTTTTCCAAGCCTTTGGGTAATTACAACACTTGCCCTTTGAAAGCGAGCCCTGCATCCCCAGCCCGTCCCACTCTGTGTTATCTGGATGCTGTGATCCTAGTGACGCAGTGGGAATCGCTGTTTATTTTCTTTCTGTGTGTGTGTGTGAGAGAGAGAGATAGCAGCACCGACATGCCTGGACAAACCTTCTCTTTGTGGCTTAAGTAGATTCCACTTGTGGTGACGTCTGAAGTGGCGAGGAGGAGCAGCCAGCGGTAATGATGCTTGTGTGGCCTGTCTGAGGCTCGCCGGCCAAACTGGCTCCTGTGGCTCCAATGTTTTTGGTGACCTGAGAGAGAGAGAGTGTGTGTGTGTACGTGTACAACCAGTCTCTCTCTGCAGCAGGGACGAGCTCTCGCCGCCAAATGAGTGACAGCAGCAACACCACACACACTGTTTGTTTTATTTTAGCCACACACACACACACTCATCCCCTCTCAGGTCTGTGTGTGTTGTTCCTCGCAGTCATTAGCCGGCCGTGGTGTTAGCCTGTTTGCGGCCCGGGGGGAAACGTCATTAGGGCGATATTGTGGACGCTCAGCCAAGGTTTGTTTTCGTCTTTGGAAAGGGGCCCCAGGTCCCTGGAGGGGCCCCGGCAGTGCTCCTGGGGTCCAGTTTGTTTATAACACTTCTTTGGCAGTTTGGAGGAGGTTGTCACCACAGCAGCACCAGTGGGTTTCCAATGCTAATTGGTCTCCTGGAACTTTCACTAATGGCTCCAAGTAGCTGGGGGAATAAATTATTGTGCCGCGTTCTATGGCAACAGTCACACGTCCATACAGAGACACAAACACGGCACTCGGTTTATGATTTTTCTGTACTTAGAGATCAAATGGTGTGATAAATGATTCATAAAGCGACTCATTTGGCATTCGCAGCCTCGATTTGACGCTTGTTTGTCAAATGGCAATTTGATTCAGGACAGCATGGGGTGAACGCAGGACGTCACGGGTCATATGCAATATGATTAATTTTTAAGAATTACCGGAAGATATGTTAATGACCCTCGCAGCGATAAGAGAAAAGCATTGTGCAGAGCAGCTTGTCAGAAGGAAGAAAATTAGATCTTGTGTCGGGATCGTGTTGTTATTTTAATGATAGATGGATCGCTTGTGTCAGATTTTTTTATATTTGCATTTCAGAAAGCTCGAGCTCGCCATTGTAAATTAATTTTGACAAATATCTGAACGTTTCTGTCTCATTGTTGACTGAAAAATGTCCTCTGAGGCGGAGAAACTGGGAGTGATACCGAGCTGCAGCTTAAAAGTACGCTGAGCTTAAATGTAACAAAAAGTGCAGCATTTAAATGTTTTTGTACTGAATGTGAAGCTTATGTTAAAGTTTCAGTCCACTGGAATATAAGTTATGCAAACATAAACTGAGTGATTACAACAGGGATCTCAAAAATAAGGCCCGGGGCCCAGAATTGGCCTGCACAACACTCCAATTTGGTCCACTGGACGGCTTTGAAAAATGCAAAGATCTGAAGGAGAATTATTTTAGACGTTTAACTGTATTTTCATAATTTTTATAGCTTCTGTTGCTGATAATGACAGGAATGGTCTGTTTGATGGTCTGTTGTCCGATAAACATCATTGTTCACATTCCTCATGTCATTATGTCCTAACACAGCGGTCCCCAACCTTTTTTGTGCTACGGATCGGTTTATGTTCCACAATATTTTCGCGGACTGGCCTTTAAGGTGTCGCGGATAAATACAACAAAATAAAACCAGTAACAGTACCAAAAAAAGGAATATTATTCATAACACACGGGAAAAGACCCAGGGAAACCGAGTTAACGATAAAAATGATTAAAAAAATAACGCTAAAAACCCTGAAATCATAAATTTCACACCCGAGCCTCAACTCTCGCAGCCAAACGACTCACGGGCCAGTACTGGTCCATGGCCTGGGGGTTGGGGTTTGCTGTTCTAGCAGATGATTTGTGTTTATTTTTACATGAAATGGTCAAGGTCACGTTTATTTCTATAGTACATTTAAAAGAACCAAAGCCAAAGTGCTTCACAGGCAGGAAAAAAGAGAAAAAAACCCTGAAAACTGAAACAATTACAAGATGCTGAGGTTTGGCTTGAATTAAAGACAGCAGAAATCAGTCTTCAATAAACATTTACATGCAGAAACATTTGGGGCGGTTCTAATATATAATTCCAGTATTCCAGAGACTTGGCGCAAAAGATCAGTCAGCTAAATGGTAACCCATTTACTCTCTTAAAAATAATCAATAAGCCAACAAGGTGAAGCTAAAACCGGAGTAACACGTTCTCATCTCAGATGCATCATCTCATCTGAGCTAAACGTCGAGCAGTGGGGTTTTGTCTTCCCAAATCAAAAGCATGACTGACTCTTTCCAAGACAGTATGAGGAAGATTGGCCCCTCAACCCAAGTGGAAGCAAAAAGTTTTTACATGTTTATCAACATGCAATGTGTTAGTAAGAACACGTAAATTCATCCCTGTTGTGAAATTCAAAGATCGGACTCCACATTTGTTGTTGTCTTCAGATCTCAGAAATACTTCAGTTTGATTTTTAAACGTGTGCCGCGGTTCCGTCTGCCTCTCGGCTCTTTTAATGAATTAAATATGAAAGTATTTATTCATACTGTGTAGTCGTTGTTGCATGTAAAACACTTTGTGTCGCCTTGTTGTTGAAAGGTGCTCTACAAATAAACTGGCCTTGCTCGGCCTCCCCTCTGATTGGTAGAGGTTGAACATGAAGCCTGAGAGGAACGCCTGCAGGCACTGCTCAGGGCAGTAAAAACACTTTAACATCCTCTGCATGTTTTCATGAAAAATAAAAATATTCACAGTCAATATCCTCAAAAAAAAGACACATGAGTGAACGCCACAAATGTTATTCATTATTTCTGTTGATTTACTGACTGTTTATTAAAAACTTATTTTGCTGGTTTAGTTTGAACTCTGAGCCCTAAATCAACTTTGTCCACCTTTTGTAGTAATTAATACCAACTACAAATGAAAACAACAACACATTCCTCTGAAAAAATAATACTATAAATGGCACATTAAAGTTTTGTAAACCCAATCAGCTCTGCAGCAACTCTCCTGCAGTTTGTATTTGCAGCTGATCAGCTTCCAGCCCAAGCAGCTTCACCCCGTTGAAGGCTGCATGAGAGGTCACTGAAGCGTCCTTCTTCTCATTTCTCGCTCCTAACCCTAACCCTAATAGGGCAGCTTTGCCTCTCACTTTAAGACTTTAAGACTCTCTAAAAAAAACTCACCTCGCTCTGACTGGCCAAGTTCTGGAAGCCTCCAGAAGAGCAGCACACAGTGCTTTGAGAGCTACACTCTTGGCTTTTGTGAAATGTTTAAATATTAAAGAGACGGGATGGCGACACCACCCTGTCCTCATCCCCAGGCCGTCACATAGCGCGGCCCTTAGTGCCATGGTTACGAACACGGTGTGAAGCGTCAGGATGCCGGGATATCCAATTACAACCTTTCACCACGTAACGATGTCATTCAGCCTGTCCTCGTCCCAGGGGCGTGGCTTTGCACATGTGCAAACCTGGCCGTCGTCCCTGTGGCCATATAGACGGAGTGACACGTGAGGGTGAACAGATTTAACCACAATCTTTCCAAAGCGTAGTCACTGTATTGTATTTTTACCCTGTTTTGTCTTTTTTCTTATAGAATTATTTTAATATTTAAACCTGATGGTGGTTTTTGGCCTGATTCTTTGATCTTGTCCGTCCCATAACATCTGCATCACATTATAAATAAATTTGATTGGATATCAATATTCAGATCAGTCAGTACTGATGTACTTTGTTACATCCCCCACCTGACTGCACACCTCATGATGCATTCACTGATGGCCTCCAGCCGTCAGGACATTTGGACGCTTCGTCATTCAGACAGTTTCCTGCAGTTTCAGTGTGTAAACGTCTGCAGCGGCGTCTCATCCGTCCATCCATCTGATGGATATTAATGTGCCGGGCTCAGCCGACTGCTGTTCTACATGCCACACTGACCCACCACACCAAAAGCCTCATCTAGCTCCACCCGCCCCCCACCCTGCAGAGCTGAAGTGGAAATCCAGCGCTCCCTCCGGATGCCTGCACAGACTCTGGACGGGCTACTGGCTCGTTTAATTTTGGAGTCTGCGGCCGCTTGGATGAAACACCGGCCGCTTCGCCCTCTGGCTACCTGGACAGCTGTTTGGCGAGGCGCCCTTCGGTTGGCTGGCTGGTAGTCAGGGCAATGGCACCGGGGAGGGTGGGGGTGCTTCCATTGCTGGGTATCATCCAACTGTTAGTGACCTTGGCTTGGACCCCACCCAGCTGGACTCAGCTGTGTGTCTGTCTGTGTGTGTGTGTATCTGACACGAACTTGCTTTTCAAAATAAAAATTTTTTCCGGATAGCTGGGTGGATTTATTTTAGAAGCAGATTATTAACTAATAATATATATATATATTTTTAAAAATCTATATTTTTTCACAAATTTGGTTGAAACTACAGATAAAGTTAGAAGTCACTTTAGTTAATTTAAAGACAACTTATTTTCTCAACATCCCCTGCAATTAAGCTTCATTCTTGAATATGGTTTGAATTATTTTATTTCCCTGTTCTCTCTTTTGTGACTTATGTTCAGCAATTTGTGAAAAACCTGAAACTGAATTTGCATTTTTTTAACACTACTGGTGAGCTGAGCTCAGCGAGCTGTGAATGTGAAGATCACTGATGGTTTTACAAATTTTTAAAGGTTAGAGAGGCTCATTGACCTGCACCTGTTTTGGGTAATGTTTAAATCTGTTGCTTTTTCAAGTCGTGTTAACTCAGTGTGTCCTTTCCTTTCACAGCCGGTGTTGTGACAAGAAGAGCTGTGGAAATCGCAATGAGACGCCCTCTGACCCCGTCATCATCGACAGGTAGGAACTGTTCTGATTTTCTTTCTGCTGCTGTGTCTGGTTCAAGTTTCTGGCTCAGTTTGTGATGCTCATGAACATCAGGAGTGATCGCACAGTGAGGAGTCTGGCGTTTATGATTGGACATTGGTTTAGCCTCCTGCTTGCGATCGCGAATCGTTTCTTTGACGTCTAATTGCACGGTCGGCGTAAAGCTGGCTGTTGCCGAGTATAAATGGAGGGAATCAGTTGTTTGATTATCTCTAGTTGCTGCAAGTGAACGCAGCGCAGTGCAAACTGCAGGTCAGGGTTACTCCTATCCAGCAAACAGGATTAAATACATTTTTGGTTTATTTGCTTCTCACTGTGAATGTCTTACTTCTCATTCATCAATAGCAGCCATCAGTTAGGCTGATTTTTTGAGAGTCAATCTAACTTCAGTCCCGTTTTTTTCCCAGAAATCTGCATCTCTCCGCCTTCAGCAAAAGTTTGAGTTGTTGTTGTAATTGTTTGTGTATGCAGGATATTAAACTCGGCCCACTTGTCTCGGTCCTTTCGTGTGGAAATCATGTGGTAATGTACGAATGAGGCTTGGGTGGGATTATGGTGTTAAAATACCAATCTTTCTGTTTTTGTAAAGGGAGAAAAAAAACTTCTACGGGACACATCTTTCTAAAATGGGTTAGACCTAGCACTGATGGATTAGTCCTCACAGGGTTAAAGTTATAGATGGATGCTACATTTAGTGCTTGTATTATTGTGCACTGCTCAGACATGCTGCCAGAGGACAGTAGTTACAGCTAAAACGCTGCGCTGAGCTCAGCGAGCTGTGAAACATGGCGACTGTTTGATAAAGGTGAGCTAGCCAACATGGACGACGCTGTGCCAGAAAGCTGTGGCTAACAACGATGGACTAATTACCTCTAAATAAACAAAACTAGCATAATTTTCTTAACGATGTATCTGATATTGTTTAAATTTCATATTAATCTCGCTCGACAACCAAGAATCCTTGCAACTGACCCATCGTATTATTGTGATGCTTTGCATCTCTAAAGCACAACTTGTCCTGCAGTGGAAGAATTTTTGAGCAAAAAAAGTCTTAAAGACGTAAATGTTGCTGTGGAGGAAGGATCAAAGATGTGACTTTCACCCTGGAGACTGGGGTTTGTGTCCCTCAAAACCAGAAATAGATGTATGTATTTCTAGACTTGGAGCTTGTTATGTTTTCAGATTGGAAAAAAATTGTTTTTGGTGGAATTTGGTTTGTTAGATGTCTGTTAGGTCCCTTAAAATACAACATTCACCACATATTAAAAAGAATTTATGGCAGAAATGAGATGGTCAGTTCTCTACTGTTTTTACAGATTCTGCTTAAGTAAAGAATATCTTACATTTTTATTCAGAAAGTAAATTGTGAAAGTGGCAAATGAAAACCCCATGTAGTGGTGCGTTTAAGGACACTGACGTTTAAGAACTGATAGCTGAACGTTCAGCAGAAAAAGAAGCTTTAAAAAGAATAACGTGAAACTTTTTGTGAGGCGATTTTTATGCAAATTAGCCTGCAGGGAGGTAAGGTTAAGATCACATAAAATGTTTGCATGTATGAACCTCTTGCACATGTTGATGCAATCCAGCTGTGCTCTCTGTGCAGCTGTTGCTGGCATCAGTCGGATTTCTTTTGTTTCTTTCCTGCTTCTTCTGTTTTTTTGGCGTCTCACTTCTTTCTCACCTCTCGCTTCCGGCACGAGACGCCGCCGTGTGAATCGTTTAATCAACACCAGCAACAGCAAAATAACATTTACATGCTGCAGTACGAGTGCGAACTGGCGGCTGATCACAGGCTTCGGTTCGCGGCGTCTGCAGCTCTTTAAGACCTAAAGAGGTCCGGTAACGCTCCTTTTCTTTTATTCTTATCCATGAAAACTTACAGCTGGGAAACACTGACCCAAAAATGTGATTCAGTGCATGTCAATAAATTCATGCCCTCGGAAAAATACGTTTTTTGTTTTTTTTTCTGATTTTAAAACAGCAGCCGTGATTCCTTAATTTATTTTTCATCCAATGCCACATTAAAAAAAAAAACAACCACATCCAATCAGGCGCTCACAACTGCCAGCATCACAATCCTTTATTAACCCGGCGCTCGTCCTCACCGTCTAATTCCTCCGCCCTCGGTGTCCTTGGAGTCGGCGGCTGTCCGTCACAACGCCTGGCTGCAATTGGTCGGGTCGCAGTGGTGGGAGCCAGTGACCTCAGAAGAGGTCAGGGGGGAGGACGGAGGGGGGGAGGGGGGCCAGGACCAAGTCCATGTTGGCTCGTTAGAGAGGCCTTGGACCTCAGCCACACACATGCACACACACACAAATACAGGTGATACACACTTCCATAGTGTGTGAGCTCTGAGACACACATTTATAAGAGAAAACACACAAGTACACCCACAGTGACACTGACACACACACACACACTGCTGTGTCCTCTCACCTCAGACTCTGTGTGTGTATGTGTGTGTGTTTAAAGGCTTTGTCACCTCTCCGTGTGTTTTGTCACACATGTGAAGGACTCTAAATGTGTCCACCCAAACCTCAGGGTGAAATCTAAGTCCTGGTTCAGACTTCTGCATTGACTCTTTGCAGAGCCGATGATGTAACATATCTAAATGTCCGGCGCCATTGGCAGCGTTCTTGCTCGTGCGTGGCGTTACTCGTCTTGTGGTCATGTCCCGTTGTTTTATATCTCGAGCCAACCACGATACAAACAAAATAAAATCTTTGCTCTATGTTGTGGTCTGGTCTTTAGAAGATATTTTTCCTCCAAGTTTTTCCACTTTGTATATTCTGATACCTTCATCACCCTCCTTCCAGGAATTTGCTGCCACCTGTGAGTCCTAGAAGAATAGAATAATCCTTTAATTGTCCCACCAGGGGAAATTTGGTTGTAACAGCAAAAAAAAAGCACATGTACAAACAGAACAGGACACAGAACAGAAACAGCAAAAAAAAAAAAAGACATCATGGACAATAGTTACGAAAACAGAGTACAGATAAAAATGGGAAACCCAGGTTGTAGTGTGCAGACAGAGCAGGGTACTGGAAGATGTTTAAATAATTAAGAATATTTAGAATATTCAGAAAAAGTACAGATTGTGCATTGTACCTGTGCACAATCCTTAAATTGATGCTATGATTATCATTGCTCATTTCAAGGCGGTGATTTTTATTCTGTCACTAATAAATTCAAAAACTGCAGCGAATTTCCAGAGAAGTGCACGTCAGATTACAGTGTAGGGTTTCAGAGTGGTCTGCGGTGACGCACTGAAGCATTAAGTGCAGCCCTTCTAGAAGCAAGTTTTGACACTCAGCCTCTGGGCACTTACTTTGGACGGGGAGAGACCCTAAACTTCAACACTATCAGTATGTGCTGGAAAGTTAGCTTCCCATTCCTTGAATTACTGATTGTCTTCCAGTTCAGGTCACTTGGAGATTAAAAAGGTGGAAAAAGTGACTGGACACTCGCAGGTTCCTCTGATCTCAAAATCCTAAACTTATACTGTAATCACAGGATCCCAAATCTGTCACATCTGTTATTTTTAAAGTTAAAAAATCCAGTGAAAGGAGATTGTTTCACCCAGATCAGAAGTCCTGTGAAAATATCAGTCCTGTGTGAATCGGCATCGCTGATTTTGGTCTGTTCATTTCTTATGTTGGTTTTCTTCTGCCTTTTTCCCGAGGCTGTAATAGTTTTAACATTTTGGGTGCAAATCCCTGAGGTTCATGGAAATCTATTATTAGAAAGAGTGACTCCATTAGAAGAGCCAAAACTCGAAGGACGATGACATGGTGATCACAGATGCTGGTAGATTCACGTAAAACACACACGCTATCTTTTGCGAAACACAGACATGGACGTATAATTTCTAAATCACATGACGTCCCCTGGTTCTGTGACATCCTGACAAACTCTGGAAAATTATTTTCTATTTCCTGGATGTTTCTCTGCAGCCTGACCGCTTTAATTAGGACAGGACACTGATACTAGTCCACTAACCCAGGGAATACACGCACACACACACACACATATGTGTGCAGACACACTGTCAGTCGTCTGCTGTGATTTACTGGAGCTTCGTTTGTCTCTGCATTTCAGCGCCTGTTAAAAAATGCAGGGATTTATTACTGTGACCCCCCCTAACACACACACACACACACACACACCTTTCACTGGGGTGGTGGTGATGGTGCTTTAGTGTGTTTTTAGTGACCCATCATGCAAATGATGTAGCTACAGTAAAGCAGTTTAATGCTCAGAATCCACGTCTCACTGAAGTAAATCAAACGCTCCCACTCTTCTTGTTTTATGAGGAAACGTGTCTTTTCATGTTTTTTTCTTCGTTTGCTTTGTCTTCACGCCTTTCTCTCGACCTTTTGTCTCCCTTCATGCCTCCATCACCTGTGAATAAAGCAGGCGAACGCCTCCTGCCTGGACCTCCTCGCTGCTGGGTCACTGTAACGTTTCACTGCCTGCAGGTTTTTGTGTTCGTATTTGCTAAGTTTAAAAAGACAAGTTTGTGAAAAATGCATAAAAATATATTCTAATAAAGTCGGTAGACTGCTCCTTAAATCTGGTCTGAACCTGAAGCTCGGTGTCAGCTGTGTGTGTGTGTGTGTGAGTGAATATAAATGTGCGGTGATGCGCCTCTCAGAGGTCGCTTTGTTTCCTTCGTTTACGGTTAATGGGTGAATCCTGCCGAGGCAGCAGAAAGCGGCGCTGACGGATCGCCGTAACACCGCTGCTATTACACGCTAATATTGCAATTAGATGGGTGGCCAAGTTGCCCGAGCGGGGCAATAAATTGCCGTAGAGTGTCAAAATGTACGAGGAGGCCGGGCTCTAATTACCCAGAGCGCACCTCTTCACCCGCCCGCGCCTCTGTCCTCCCCCTCCTCTTCAACCGTTTGACCATCGCCCTCCCCCGTTAATGGTCGGGCCTTACATGGAGGTCGTGACCCCCCCCTCATCTG